GCAAAAACAGAGAGTATGATTGTTTGTATCTTAGTTCTATTATAGTAATACCAGAATATTATAAGAGGACTAGAATAAAAAGGCTTCAAATGACACTTCTCTATATACTACTCAGCAAATGATATTTTGAAGATAGGTAGAAGCACTGCTATTATTAGCCTGATGTTCTGATAAATTATCATAAACTATTATAAATGGTTTATGACTCATAAACCAAACACTAGTAAAAGCATATATAGATTTGATGCAGTGTGTGAAGACACATGAAGTTTTCTATTCAGTAGCCAACTTCTGACACTTCAAAGAAAGAGAAAACTAATTAATAGAAAACTCTCAATGACATTGTGGGTATGAAAATTTTCAAAGACATTTCATTATAATCTGGCTGCTTAACTCTTTTTCTCCCAATTATTTTGAATTTACTAGTCTGAAGAGAGAAAAAAATAGAATTCCTTACATCACTTCATTGATCAATGTCCGAGAGGGATCTTCTGTGAAGGAGGGGCTGTTGTGAAAGAAAAAGGCTTGAGAGACAATTGCCCCAAAGATAACACTTCCTGGCTGAGCAAAGTGATGGGGTATAGGAAGTGGGTCATCTGGTATGCTACAATTGATAGCATATGTTTTACATGTAATACAGAATAGGAACACAAGAAATGTCATTGCTATCAACTCCATCCTATTATTGACAATTTCCATCCTGAGAAAGATAAATGTCTTTATACTATCTGTATACCATTAAACTACATGGCATTGTTTTTTCATTATCCTTACATATATGGTCTCTAAGAGAGTTGCCATAGTACTACAAAGAAAAAGGAGAGGGGAGAAGGAAAAAAAGAGAACAAATTACAAAAACTATTAGGAATGAAACAGAGATAAAACAACTTGGAACTGAAATGAAGATTAGAATAGATATCATTCAAATGATAGCTCTCTATACTCTATTCAACAAATTATATGTTGAAGATAGGTAAAAATACTCATACTAGGTTGACTTTCTGAAAATTGAGTTTAATAAGGAACCTATAATTTGGACCTTTGGGGAAATAATCAAGTCCTCTCCAATTCTCAATATTTTTTACATCTCTCCTGAGAAAAGGGTTCGAAGTGTGCATTTAATTACTGTAATTTGCTTTGATTTTTTTTACACCATGGAAGTGCCATGAGCCTTTTTTTAATCAAGTTTCCTGACATACACACAAGTCAAACTTCATGTACAATAGATTGATAGCAGTGATTAAAACAGAAAAGTATACTAGGTAAATCTGGTATACTGAATTCATTTTCATGCATACATTAATCACCCTAAGTTGCCCATCAAAATCAAAGAAATATTTTGATAATTTGCCTTAAGTGATTTTAATATTCATCTGAGAACTTCTGCCCAATTGTGGGTAATCACTGAATTCCAATCCCCCATCAAACACCAACTTTCATAAGAAAATCTGTTAATTCTTTATAGATTGTTTATAAAACACTACTCTGTGATCAGTTGGGGCTTAATTCCCAGTATCAAAGTCTTAGTTCTGTGTAAATTAACTTCCATCCCTTTATATGCTACATGATGAAAGGAGTAATTTGTTTCACCCATTTAGTGACTACTGAGATAGATCTTCAGACAATGAAATTAAGCACAATCAGGGCAAGCTTTTTAAAAAAATTACTAGACAGAGCATTTGATAGATTTTGGGGGGCAAAAAAGGCTGTGCAAGAGAATTTGATGAGAAAGATATAAGTTGCTTTCAAGATTTAATATGATATGGATTTCAAAAGAGGTCCAGAAGCACTGATTAAATGTTCTTATAGTCATGAAATTTCTCCTTCATTCTAGATTGGATCTCTTTTTAAAGATCTTCTACCCATAACTTCTTTCCTGCCCTCAAGTAATTTGGAGAATAAGTTGACTCCCTCTTCTCTGTGACAGCCCCTCAAGTAGTTCAAGACACTCATATCACCCCTAGTCATTCTCTTTGTTAGACTAGACATACTTTTCATCATATGGTTTAGCCTCCAGATGGCTTATCATTTTTGTTACTCTTCACTGCACTCTTTCTTACTTCACAACTTCTATTTTATAACATGATGTCCAGAATTGGACAAATTATTCCAAGTGTGGTTCTCACGAGTGCAATATAAAGTAGTACATGAACTATCCCTGTGTTGATGCAACCTAAGACTGCATTAGCTTCTTTGGCAGCTGCAGCACACTGCTGGCTCACACTTAACTGGTGTTCTACTAAGACACCTACATCTCTCCCACAGTTGCTGCTATTGAGCCAGGTATCATCTATTCTGTATTTGTGTATTTGATTTCTCTTGCCTAAGTGTATGACTTTACTTTAGTCACCATTGAATTGCATTTTCTTAGATAGAGCCCTGTGTTCAACTCTGTCAATGTCTTTCTGTATCATGAGTCTATCATGTAAAATATTAGTGATTTCTCCCCATCTTGGTGTTTTCTGCAGATTTTATAATTTTCCCTTCTATCCCCTCATCTAGATCTGTTATGAAGATCTAGATCCGGGTCTAAGACAGAACCTTGAGGTATCTATGCTATGATGTTATGATAAATATGAATTGTATGTTGTTTCAAAATAACAATATTAAAACACGGAATAAAATTACAGATATGTTAAGATGGAAAACTATAAATATTATTGCTGGGAAGAATTGCTGTACTAAAAATGAATGTTTGTTTAGTACAATGTTCCCTTTTTATTATTACTACCTATTTATTGTACCTGAAGCCCAATTTGCATATTTCTTAGGAAGTTTGATGAAAAAAATGGGCCATGGCTCTTTCAAAAGTGAAAGCTCTTAACATTCTCTGAGCCAGGGAAAGGAGATTTGATAATAAAGCCACATATTACCTAGAAGAGTAACTTTTGGAAGTTTTCAAAGCACCCTCTCTGAGTCATATCCTGTTTCTGTCCAACACCTGTCAATCCAGAAACAAGTGTTGCTTTCTCCCAGTCCCTTCAAACAGTCATCTGAATTATCATTGAGCTTTCTCTTTGTAACTAGCAATGGGACAACACTTAGCAGCCCTTTTGAAGAAGTTAAGCCAATTAAGTGTGAAAGACATTTTAGTGTTTTCTCCACCTCTTCCTGCTGCCCTTGATCATCTGCAGCCTGAGGTGTCTGCCTCTTAGTGAACAGTAGAGCTAGTTCTATGGTCTTCTTTGAACTTCATGGTGTACTGTTTTATAGGTTTAAATACACAAGAACTGAAGAAAGCTGGTAGATACCTGTTATGTTATTTATTTAAGTTGATTCGTGGTGGTTGTTTTTTGTTTTTGTTTTTTGTTGTTTTTGTTTTCGGTTTTGGGGTGTTTGGGGGTTTCTTTGTTTTTGTTTTTGCAATTCTGTGTCTAAGTCATATCAAAACTTCCTTGTTTTGGCTTTCTGTTTTTTTCTGAGGAGACTCAGGGCACATGGTGAAGAACTGTTATTTAAAAGCACCAGGAGACGAGATAGACCCCCAAGCCACAATGCTGAGAAATTTCCTTACTGTAAGAACAATTAATCAGTGAAAAGGCATCCCTCTGGAAGTCTTTTGAATCCATGTCATATCAACTCTTGAAAGCAACTTATATCTTTCTCATAAACGGTTTCTCTGTCCTGATCTGTGTTTGACAAACCCATGCTGGCTTTTCATAACTATTTATTTGTTTCTATCCTTTTATCATATGTAAAATATGTTACTTTATATGCTGAAAGAAGACAAAGTAAATATTTTAAAACATATCATGGATCATTTATCCCTCTTCTCTTATTAAAACTTGGTCAGTGGGCAACTGGAATAGAAAACCTCTCCTATTTGAGATAGAATGTCAACTAGGGGATTAAATCTTTAAGTGAAAAAACATATTTTATTCAAGGAGAATCTACTGTAGTTTATAGAAGAAAGAAGAAATAGGGTTAGAAGGATATGTTTGTCAATAGTTCACATATCTACAATTAAAAAAATAAGATGAGATGAGATGAGATGAGACGAGACGAGACGAGACGAGATGAGATAAGGTAAGGTAAGGTAAGGTAAGGTAAGTTAAGCATGGCATGACATGGCATGGCATGGCATGGCATGGCATGGCATGGCATAGCATAAGACAGCATAGGATAAGGTTAGATGAGAAAAGCTGTGGTTTTGAATTTGGAAAAAGTGAATTGGAAATTACATTGTGTGCTAATGATGAACATGTTAGGGATGAGGTTTACAAAAGGTTGTGGAAACTGAATTTGGAAAATGACTGTTTTAAGGACTGCATGATTCAATGGGTAAATTGTGGCTATAATGATTGACCAATAGGAAAATATGTGGATGTATAGAATGACCTTTATATTGAATTATAATCTGAAAGAAAATTGCTATAAAATTATGAATCATTGGATTGAAAAATTGTCAAAGATCTATAAAGAATTTCAAATATATCCTGGAAATGTAATTATAAAAAAGGTATTTTTAACACCTCTGGTGGACCTATGACAAATCAAAGCAATATTGGGATCAGATTTTTATCCTAATTTGGAAGATTTTTAAAATAAATATAAAACTGAAGACAGAAGTTTTCCTTTTAGCTTTAATGCCAAAGAGCTTAAAAAATGGAACTTTGTTATTATATATTGCACTCTTTGAAAGTAAACAAAGCACATTCCAATGAAGCTCAGTCTTGTTTCTCTAATTTAATGCCAATTGAAATAGATTTGAAATAGATTTTTAATACATGCTTATTTTTGTTTTCTCCATATCAAGTTTATCTATAAATGAAGTTAAATCAAGGTCATGTAGATTTTTCCAAATTCTATCAAAGTAAATTAATGTACAAAAAAACCCCACAAAACAATTCACAATAATCTAAAGATGTTTCAATAACTCTGAATACAAAAAGACAGTTATGTTTCTTTCCTTATTAAATGTTCCTGGGTATGGATATTCCCATTAATCCAAGGAATAGTCTAAAGATATTTCATTAAATATGAATACATAAAGACAATCATTATTTTTTCCTTATTAAATGTTCCTTCTTGTTTATCTCAGGTCTCAATAAAATGATATAGCATTTGGGGAGAAATATACATCCCAGTAAACCAGAACTGGAGGATAAGATAGAAAAGATCTCCACAGCTACCATGTATTTCCCTTTGGTGCTCAGGTAAGTTGGAACAAATAACAGCCAAACACTGCAAAAGACCAACATGCTGAAAGTGATGAACTTGGCTTCATTGAAACTGCTGGGCAGCTTCCTGGCTTGGAAAGCAATGTTAAAGCTGACACTAGCCAGGAAGCCCATGTAACCCAGGACACAGTAAAACATGATCATTGAGCCCTCATTGCATTCCATTATGATTTCTCCCTTCAGTGAGTGCAGATCTGTATCTGGGAAAGGGGGAGAGGTACTCAGCCAAAGAGTGCAAATTCCCACCTGAATGAAGGAACCTGAAAGGACAATAGAATTGGCCAGTCCTTTCCCTACCCATTTCCTCATTCCAGAACCTGGTTTGGTTGCCATAAATGCCAGAACCACAGTCATGGTTTTTGCCAATACAGACGAAAGGGCCACTGAGAAGATAATTCCAAAAGTCATTTGCTGGAGAAGACAGGTTATGTTTTCAGGTCTTCCCATGAAGAGGAAGGGGCAGAGAAAACAGAGGAGAAGGGAGAGGAGGAGGATACAAGTGAGGCTCCAGTTATTGGCTTTAACAATTGGAGTCTCTCGATGCATCCAAAAGATTCCAAGCACAAAAACTGAAATCAAAAAGAAAACAATAGCCATTGTAATAAAGAAGATTCCTAAAGGTTCATTATAAGAGAGATATGTAAACACTTTGGGGATACATTGATTTTGGATATTGTTAGGATATTCATTTTCTGGACATTTCATACAGACATCCATATCTGGAAAAAAGAAAAAAGAAGATATCCTTCTAACATACCAAACTTTCAGTATAGAATATATAGAGTACAATTTATGTTGATACAAGTTACCTATTTTGCAAAGAGAGGATAGCAATTCTCTCTTTTTTAATGCAAAAACATATATCAGTCTCATAATATAGATCCTTCATGATGCACAGAGGGTGTTGCTTGAAAATCAAAAGCAAATAAAAGTATTTCCTGTCCCCTTTATTCATTTTTAAAATCAGGTAATTACTAGTATACTCTTAAGCAGTGCTTTTTTTGTAAAAAAAAAAAAAAAAAAAGGTGCCGGAACTCACATACAGTATGTCATACAACCCACCTTGCCTACCCTACAAGGTTCCATCCAAAAAAAGGTGCCGGAACTCTGTTCTGGGCGTTCTATGACAAAAAAGCCCTGCTCTTAAGTGCCATTCCAATTTGGACTAGCAATATTTGCAGCTTCATAGACAAATTTGTACAAATAAATATTATAAATACTTGGTACTAATAGATCAAGTTGATATGGTATTTTAAGGAATGGATGGAACAAGAAATTGGAGGACCCTGTTTTGTCTAAGCTATAGAAATTGAGGAAGACAGAGTGAAAGAAGAGAGAATATTATTGGGGGAGGGTCTTTATCTTGTTTTGTTCCAAACAAACAAACAAATAGATGCACTGGTCTGGTCAGTCAAAAGTAAGGTAAGTCATTTTGTCTTACCTATTTCATCAGAGATCTGCCCTTCTGAACATGACACACAATCATAACAACAAAATTTCTCTCCTTCCTTCTTCTTTCTGCTGGAGCCTTGGTAGCAGTGGTCATTGCACACAGAAATAGGAAGCCCCTGAACAGTAAAAGGTATGAGAAAATTAGAGAATAAAATACCTGCATTAATAGAACTTTCCAAAACAGAAACCCACAGCTGGGATGAAGAGGCAGAAGAAAATGAAAATGAGAAAACTTGAGTTAATGAGAAGGAATTGGCATTGACTTCTTTGGATGTTCTAGCAGAAGACCTGGATGGCAGAAAGTTATGTTTTCATAGGATCTGGCACATGTTTGGATTAGTCCAAACAGAATGTGGCACTATAGGAAGTCCCCAACTTACAACCACAATACGGTGCATAATTGTTAAGTCAATTGCATGTTTGTTAAGAAAATTGATTCTGATAAATGGGCATTTTTTTGCTGAAAACTAACTAAAAACTCTGCAAATCATGGTTATATGACCATGGGACACATGCAACTGTTCATTAATCTGAGTCAATTGTCACATGCCCAAAATGTGAACATGTAACAACAAAGGAAGTGGCAGGCTCTCCTTTGGAAACAGGTCACAAATAGCTTTTTTTTCAGTCCCTTGTAAATTTGAAGGGTTATTAAATGAACAGTTGTGTGCCTAAGGCTATCTGTATTTACAATGGCAATTTATAAACACAATTGGAAGCATTTGCCTCAAGCTTCCCGTGGACATATTAATGCTCAATTGCATATGCAGAATATGTTATATGTCATCATCTTGAAAGCTTTCAAAAGACCAAAATATGATTTTCTTCAATTACTGAAATTTATTTGACAATTGCTCCAAAGAGTGTTTTACTTTTGTTATTAGTTGAGAATCTGCAGCTTCTTCTCACCTGGTTAAAGCTTCTGTGCCATACAATTTGATTGTCATTAAGGGTTAATTCTCTGCCTGATGGAGCCCGAGGTTCCAGTGTTCCAACTTTGACTCGAGAAATGGAATTATTGTGGAAAGTAATCCAGTTTGCAACATCAAAACTCGTAATCAATTCTCTGTTTTCATCAAATGTAATAGAGTCTCCCATACTGTTGTTGAATACAATGCTTTGCAAGAAAGAATGAAACTGTATTTTAAAAAAAAAAATTAAAGAAATTAACAGCAAGAGTTTGAAATAATAACAACTCCATAAAATTATTTCAAGCTGAACTATCCTGCTTTGAAAAATGCAAAGGAAAATTGAGGGTATCTTCAATTCAATGTTGACTGCTGTCTGAACAAGATTCAGTAATTCCTTTGGCAAGATGTCCAGAATTGGCTTGTCATTACATTCTTTCTAGGACTGAGAGAGAGTGATAGCCTAAGGTCACCAGTTGGATTTGTGCCTAATAAGGAGTAGAAGGAACATCTCCCTATTTATAGCCCAGTGCCTTAACCACCACACCAAACTGTTTATTATCATGTATATTTCATATTTTATAACCACAGTGTCTCTCTTTCAGGTCATTAACATGTTAGCCCTTTTTTTTCAAAATACTGAATATAGTTGTTATCTTTAAAGCAGAATGCTTTTGAGTATGCTACACAAATTATGACAAATATCTGCCTGCAAGAACTTTCAGGAACATAGGGAAATTAACTCACAAAGATATAATTAGAAAACCTGCAGGTTTTTGGCTGCATAGAATCTGAATGCACTTCAGAATGGATATTCAAATGGTGTTTCTCAAATTCCACAACAAAGTGGTCAGTCCTCATTGACACAGGTCATCTACAATTGGTAACCAACCCCCAACCTTAGAAGACAAGGTTTTACCTTTTCTACATTCTTAACATCCAAAATAACACACAATAAAACTTAATATATTATTTTTCCAACTCTACTAAATTACTTCCTAGCATGCCATGTTCTCGATGGCTCTTAGAATCCAAAACAAATTAACATGTAAAACATGTAAAATAGGAAAAATAACAGACTTCCAGTTTGGCGTTCGATGAGACAGGTGGAAGAAGCCAGGGCTCTGGCTTCTTAGCCCGATTTCATTCTGCCCGATGACCTCAAGGGGTTGGAAAGTTGCCCTGGAGGGGCAATGAAGAAGGAGGGATGACTCAGGAGTCCAGACCAGACAGCGGTCGGTCCAGACAGACTGAAAAAATCCTCTAAAAGGACAGAGAAAAGGCTGCCTGCTAAGCCCAGGCAGCCCAAGTTGTCGCCAGCTGGAAGAAAAGCAAGGAGCCGTGGTGCTCCGCTAAACAGTTGATTGTCAACAGTGTGCTGAAACTGGGTGAGCCTGCTTTTTTTCCTTTTCCTTTTGGACTTAAAAATGTTGATACTGATTGGGAAGAGCTATAAAGTAAAGACCCCAGAAGGACTAGGGGAGAAGAGAGTTAAAAGCGGTGAGCAAATATAGAAGGGGAAGGATTTTAAGGAATATAAAAGAACTCTTAAAAACTGAACATAGACTGACTCAAAGAAAGACTACTTAACCTACAGGATGTGGAAAACATTTTTAGATATAATTCCAAGGGTAAATAACCTATAAAGAACTTTAAAAGAAAAACTTTTTGATAATCTTTTAAAACCAGATATTGACAAAACAGTGTATGAGGACATCTAGTGGTGAAAGAAGATACTATAGTAACATTAAATAATACAAGAATCTGAAAGTGTTTGACCTTGAAACAACACCGGGTGTAAACAAAGTGCCTTTGTGTGAGTTTACAAGTGAAAAGACTTTCTACAATTATATTTGTTGACTCTGGATATAACCAAAACAGGAATTACTTGGAGACAGCAGACATTTTACATCTGAGACTCGACTGGAGAATTTGGATTTGGCCTAAAGTAGTTGGCTCGTTCTTTTTGGCTGGATTTTAGCCTAAGATAGTTGGCTTTTTTTCTTGTTTTATTTTGTTTTCTCTCCTTGAGATATTGGATTTAGTCTAAAGTAGTTGGCTCTTTTCATGGTTTGGATTTTAGCCTAAGATAGTTGGCTGGAAAAATGAGTACATCAAACCTCACCAGACTTATGAAAAAGACTTCCTCTGCATCCTCTGTTGGAACACCTAGCCCAACAACCCAGGGATCTATTGTAACAATGTTGCAGCATGAGAAAATAAGCACTGCTCAAAATGAGATGCAAACTACATTAAAATTGATTCAAGAATCAATGCAAAAAAAATCACGAAGAGACGAAAAGTAATTTTGATAAATTAAACAAACAAGTCTCGGACATAAAGACACAATTTGAAGTCCGCCATCGAATGATTGTCAAAAATGAACAAAGAATTCAGAAAATGGAAAATAAATCAGATGATATTGACAAAAAAATGGAAATACTAATGCAAGAAAATGGAAAATTACAACAAGCAAACCAAAATCCAGAAGAAGCGGAAGCAATCTTAGAAATGGAGAAAGCAGAACACTACTTAAGATTTCAAAATATTCCTGAAGACCGAGAAGAAAATATAGCAACTGTGATTATTGATATCCTGGCAGAGGCTTTGAAAACAGACAGAGCAGAGATGCAAGTGGAGATAGATGAAATATTTCAAATGAATTCAAGCTACGCAAGGAAATACAAACTACCCAGAGAAGTGCATGTGAGATTTATAAAGAAAACAACAAGAGATGAAATACTGAGAAAAGTTAGAGATGAGCCATTACAATACAAAAATAAAGAAATTATGGTCTTAAAGGAGATACCCAAGAGAGTAAGAGATACTCAAAGACAATATCATTTCTTAACTACAAAGCTGATTGTAAAAGGCATAAATTTCAGATGGTTAATGCCAGAAGAGAGTTTAATCAACTGGAATAATACACAATACCAATTGGATTCAGTTTGGAAAGCAGAAGACTTTGATGAAAGAAACCGAGCATTCTTAGATGAAGGAGTGCATCATTGACAAGAGGAGAGAAAAGATCAGAAACAAATAGAAGAAGCAACTGAAGAAGCAATTATACAAACAGGAGAACAGAAAGATAAATCTAATCAAGAGAGTGAAGGAATTGCCAGAGAACAGAGGATCACAAGATCGACTAGACCTAAATATAAGTAACTGAAATGGAGAAAGAAAATAGAATAATAGAAATGGAGTACAAAAATATTTGTTTAGTAGGAGACTTTAATGCAATAATGGATGGGACATTAGACTATAAAAGTAGTAAAACAAGAAAAATTGGAAGAAGAAGAAGATTACCTAAGACTTTTTTAATATGATAGAAGAAATTGGAGTACAAGATGTTTGGAGGGAAATTAATCCAGGAAAATTACAATATACATTTTATTCAAAAAGTCAAAAATCTTGGTCCAGAATCGATATGATCTGGATGACATCTGAACTGAGGATAAATATGCAGGAAATTGAGATAGAACCAGGTACATGGGCAGACCATAACCCTTTAAAAGTGATGTGGAGAGAAATACAAAAAAAAACAAGATGGATTTTGAACCAATCTATATTACAAGAAAGAGAATTTATAGAACTAGCAAAAAAAGAAAATAAAAAAGAAGATACAATATTACAAAATGTATGGGATACAGCCAAAGCATACTTTAGAGGTATAGCTATAACATAAATGGCAAAAAAACAGAAAAAACAGCAGTATGTACTATTAAAAGAAAAATTTGGAAAACTAGAATCAGAACTGCAAATGAATCTGCAAAAGAAGATTCTGAAAAGAGAAATGGAAACAATAAAACACAAACTAAATCTGTTGGATTCAGAAAAATTGGCACAGCAAATAAAAAGAGCAAAACAATTTTTTTTGAAAATGCAAATAAACCAGGAAGATGGTTAGCTTATAAACTTAAAAAACAGAAGGAGAAGAAAATGATAAATAATTTGATAGATGAAAAAGGTTACCTACAATTTTAAAGCAAACAAATACAAAAGATAATTAAAGACTATTACAAGAAACTTGGAAGAAATTCCAAGAGAGAGAATGATCCAAAATCTGGAAGAAAATAACCCTCCAAAAATTCCAGAAACCTGTAAGATTATGTTAGAGGGAAAAAATAACAATGATGGAAATAACAGAAGCCATAAGAAGACAAAAAAAATGAGAAAACACCAGGGCCAGATAGTCTACCGGTGGAGTTATATAAAGCTTTACAAGATATACTAAGTGAACCATTGAAAGACGTTTGCAATCAACTTTTGTTGGAGGCTAAACTCCCAAATACATGGATAGAAGCAAATATTACCTTAATATCAAAAGAAGACTCAGATTTGACAAAGATAAAAAATTATAGATCGATATTGTTACTGAATGTGGATTATAAATTTTTTACTTCAATAATGGCAGAGAGACTGAAAAGATACTTAACTGAATTTATACATTCAGACCAAAATGGTTTTTTGCCAAAGAGACAAATTTAAAATAATTTAAGAGTGATAATGGATGTATTAGAATATTATGAATTACATCCAGGGAAACAACTGGCACTAATATTTCTAGATGCCCAAAAGGCATTTGATAATGTTTCCTGGCAATTTATGATTCAGCAATTACAAATAATGGACTTTGGACAGAACTTTACAAACATGATTAAAAACAATATATAATAAACAAACAGTGAAAGTGATTGTGAATGGAGACTATACTGAGAATTTTGAGATAAGAAAAGGCACAAGGCAAGGATGTCCACTATCTCCATTGTTATTCATTTTTACAAACAAATGTCGGGAAAAACAGAATTGCAGATAGTTAAAAAGGTCAAATATCTGGGAATACATTTAACAGCAAAATGTTCAACGATAAAAGAAGATAATTACACAAATCTATTGAATCAAATAAAACTGGATCTGGAAAAATGGAAAGACTTGCAATTGTCAATACTAGGAAGAATTGCTATAGTGAAAATGAACATACTACCAAAAATCTTATTCTTATTTCAAACAATACCTATAAAACTTGAGAAAAAAATCTTTGAAGACTTAAATTCACTAATTTTGAAATTTATTTGGCAAGGAAAGAAAGCTAGAATTAAGATGAAAATGTTACAAGATGCCAAGGAAAATGGAGGACTTGGTCTACTGGAGTGGGTTTTATATTATCAAGCATCTGCATTAACATGGGTA